GAAGAGCCCTGTACCCCTGAGACCTTAGATGAAGTCAGGTCGACGGAGCGGTTTGCCTTAGTCGATGAGGAACGGGTTAGAGATCAGTCGAGCAATCTGGACATCCATAAATCCATGGGTCCAGATGGGATGCACCCACGGGTGCTGAGGGAACTGGCGGAAGTCATTGCTAGACCGCTCTCCATCATCTTTACCAAGTCTTGGGAAACGGGAGAGGTGCCTGAGGACTGGAGGAAAGCAAACGTCACTCCAGTCTTCAAAAAGGGCAAGAAGGAGGACCCGGGTAACTACAGACCGGTCAGCCTCACCTCCATCCCTAGGAAAGTGATGGAACACCTTATCCTTGGTGCCATCTTAAGGCATATCAAGGATAAGAGGGTTATGAGGGGCAGTCAACATGGCTTCACCAGGGGGAAATCATGTTTGACCAATCCCTTAGCCTTTTATGAGGAAATAACACGGTGGATGGATGATGGCAGAGCGGTGGATGTGGTCTACCTTGACTTCAGCAAAGCATTTGACACAGTCTCCCACAGCATCCTCACAGCTAAATTGAGGAAGTGTGGACTGGATGATCAGGTAGTGAGGTGGACTGCGAACTGGCTGAAGGAGAGAAGCCAGAGAGTTGTAGTCTATGGGGCTGAGTCTAGTTGGAGGCCTGTAACTAGTGGAGTGCCTCAAGGGTCAGTACTGGGACCGGTATTATTTAATCTATTCATCAACGATTTAGATGAGGGAATTGAGTGTACTATCAGCAAGTTTGCTGATGACACTAAGCTGGGAGGAGTGGCTGACACGCCAGAAGGCTGTGCTGCCATCCAGTGAGACCTGGACAGGCTGGAGAGTTGGGCAGGGAATAACTTGATGAAATATAACAAGGGAAAGTGTAGAGTCCTGCATCTGGGCAGGAACAACCCCAGGTTCCAGTATAGGTTGGGAAACGACCTGTTAGAGAGCAGTGTAGGGGAGAGGGACCTGGGGGGTCCTAGTGGACGACAGGATGACCATGAGCCAACACTGTGCCCTTGTGGCTAAGAAGGCCAATGTCATCCTGGGGTGTATTAGAAGGGGGGTGGTTAGTAGGTCGAGAGAGGTCCTCCTTCCCCTCTACTCTGCCCTGGTGAGACTGCATCTGGAATATTGTGTCCAGTTCTGGGCCCCTCAGTTCAAGAAGGACAGGGAGCTGCTGGAGAGAGTCCAGCGAAGGGCAACAAAGATGATTAAGGGAGTGGAGCATCTCCCTTATGAGGAAAGACTGAGGGAGCTGGGTCTCTATAGTTTGGAGGTAACTGAGGGGTGACCTTATAAGTGTCTATAAATATATAAAGGGGGAGTGTCACGAGGGTGGAGCCAGGCTCTACTCAGTGGCAAACAATGATAGGTCCAGGGGTAATGGGTACAAACTGGAACACAAGAGGTTCCACTTAAACTTGAGAAGAAACTTCTTCTCAGTGAGGGTGACGGAACCCTGGAACAGGCTGCCCAGGGAGGTTGTGGAGTCTCCTTCCCTGGAGACATTCAAAACCCGCCTGGACACATTCCTGTGTAACATTATCTAGGTGTTCCTGCTCCGGCAGGGGGATTGGACTAGATGATCTTTCGAGGTCCCTTCCAATCTCTAGCATACTGTGATATTGTGTGATACTGTGATACTGTGAAGAGCATACAACCACTCAGCACCTGCCAACTGATACCCAGCCCGACCCAGCAGTGATCTAACCCTTCCAGGTAACTGTACCCAGTTTATATAGTGAGCATAATGTGCTGTGGTACAGAATACCTCTTTGGCTAGTTTGGGTCAGGTGTGCTGTCTTCTGCTTCCTCCTGGATTTCTCTCCTCAGTGGCAGAGCATGAGATTCAGAAAGTCCTTGGTCAGAGTAAACATTACTGAGCAGCAACTAAAAACATCGGTGTTATCAGTGCTGTTCCCAGTCTGAAAGTCAAAAACACAGCACTGCACCAGCTACTAAGAAGGAGAAAAAATGACTGCTACTGCTGAACCCAGGACAATTAAAATGTTAGAAAGCATTTAATCACATCTGTTAATTTTCAGGTTCATAATTTGGTGTTAACATGTAATGAGTTACGTAATGTGTAGTGCTACTTGCACTGTGAAAAAATGTTTGATAAAACATAATCTAAATTGAGAAAAAAGACTTACAAACAGCATTTCTATCTCAAGTAGCCTCTTAATAAAACTGATATTTGTAATTCATAGATCTGCAATGACTAGATTGGGGAAAACAATTCTGATAGTGGGACATGTATTGCTGATTTTTTATTTTAATTTTTTTTACTCTTTTCAGTGTGCACCTTTCCTCTCTGTGTAGCTTTGTGGGTTGTGGGATTTTGCTGCTTTCATTTTCTCTTTTCCTTCATAGAAAAAGCAAGAGATACAACAGTTCAACAACACTCACTAAAATGAGGTTGTAAAACAAAATATTAGAGAGAGAAACTCAAGAACAGGCATAATATCTAAACTCACTGTAACAACGTGCGTATAAGCACAGCATTAAAAGCTGGGGCTGATAGATTGTCCTGACAATCTAGATATTGGGCTGGGCATGACACTGTATGTATTTTTTGTTTACAGTGATTTAAAGAAAACAGGTTTTTTAGTGATCAGTATATTAAAATCAATATTTTGTATGATCCTTGGCAGATAGGAAATTATGATAAGTAATTTCATTTTTATTTTAATATATATTTCAGCTATATATATAGTTGAAAAACATGGCTTCTGTATGGCAAAGTTAAGAGGTTTTCTTCAGGGGCTGTTTGCTTCTGTCGTTATAATGAATATGCAGATATTTTGAAGATGGACAGGAACAGTATTTGCTTTCTGGGACATTTATCTAGCAGTGATCTAGACAAAGAACAACATAAGTTTTAGAAAGAGTACACAAAGGATTCTGAATAGCATTTGGATGCTGCTCTGCCTGTTGCATTATATGTACATAGGTAATCCTTACTACTAACCACGTTGTCGGCTCCATGGCTCCCCTAAAGCTTACAGTTGTGAGAAATCCTTCATGAAGGGACTGTGGAGTTTTTGGAAACTTCTACATACCAGATAAGTAATTTACATTACGATGTACTTAAATTTCATTATATAATTAACAAATGTATGCTGTTTGGCTCTTCTCTTGTTGGCAAGCCTTTCTGCTTTGTTCTTTTTAGGTTCAGAAATTATCAGGTTAAACTAGGTAAGCATTTATTTTCTATTGTTTCTGAACATGTACTTTGAAAACTCTCCAGCTAGAGAGACTAAATGAATTCTAGGTACAAGAGTTCTCAGAGCTGTACCAAAAGCACTTCATTACTTAATTTACCTGCCATGCTCTTTATAAATAAAACACTAGATTTAATATCAAGTGTATCACATTGTGGGCTCTTACTCTGAATCCAGGGTGAACCTGTCTCTTATGATAATGTCACAGTTTATAACAAGAAACTCATTTTATAACCTGAAACTAATTTAATCTATCTTGAAAAAAACAACTTATGACTCAATTTTTGCATTTCAGGATTCTTTTTGTATAGTATGATGATGCTAACACAGCTTATTATTATTAATCTCATTTTGCTGTCTTATATATCACTATGCTATTTCTTTCCCAGCAATTTTTTTGTACTTTTTCACGTCAGTTCAGCTATTATGTTTGACAGATGAACGTTTTTCAGCAGATGTAATATATGAATCCATGTGTCCTGGGTTCAGCTTAAACCACGACAACATGTAAAATGTATCATGCTCTTTTTGGATATATTCTTGTCAGCCTCTTGAATTGGCCAGCTTAATTCGTAACTTTTGCTTTCAGCAACTTACCTGCTTCCCACTTTTGTGACAACAGAGTGTCTTCAGTTCTGCTGTAACCCAAATTATTCCCTAAAGTGTTTACTTTTTTTTAGTTCTGAACCACTTCTACCTTGCTTTGTAACTTCAAGAAAGCCATCTGACTAACTGCATATTCCCATTTATGCACTCAGATCTCAGCTATCTCAATTCTGCTACTTCTTGAAGGGCAATGGTGTTCCTTGAGGTACCTCACAACTGATGATATAGTGGCTCCCTTCGGTTTCCTGCATCCTGCGCAGCAATTGTATCAGTTCTGACTTTGTATACGAGTCACTCCAGGGTGATAGATGATGAAGTTTCTTCAGGTTTGGGGATTCTGGCATGGGTTTGCTTCTTGAGCTTGCTTCAGTGCCCGGGTACTTTGGATACCCCTGGTACTTTGGATACCTCAGGCTCACCTTCCAGTGTTGCAGTTCTCAGACTCTCACTTGCAGTGACACTGAAGAAAGAAACCATCAGCCTGCTCCTTGGAATGATAAAAACCTAACTGCAGAACTAAATCACGAGCATCTCAAATCACTTTGTGCACTCACTCTTCTTTGTTATTCTACAAGTTACAAGCTATTTCTTGTTAATTGCTCAGTGTTTTCCAATAGACCAACTTCTGTTACTTAGGTCAAGCTTTCTGTATTCATGACAAACCTGATATTAAGGTATTGAATCTTACACTGGAAATGCTGGGTAGTTTTACCTTCTACTTGATTTCAGATTGTCTAGCAGTAATGAACTCATTAGTTATCATAAATATTTACCATATCTTTAAAGCTGTCCAAGTTTATTTCACTTTCTACAAATACTTCACTTAAAACTTCTCTGAATTTGAATAGTATCGCCTATCACATAAATGGCAATTTTATCACTAAATACGTTGTAACAAACCTTGCTTTCAGGTAAGTTTTTGCTGGCTTTTGGAATTCAAAGAAAGAATAACATTTGCTGTGGTGGTTTGTGTAATCATAAAAAAGAAAGGTGCTTAGGTAACGTATCCTTGATTTTCAGGAGGGCAGAATAAAACTTGCCAGTAAATTTTATCTAAATTTCAACGTTCTGTTGGCTTAAAATCTCATATACATATCAACATATCAGAAAACTGGTAAACTGCAGTGTTGTCTCTAACCTTGTTTCTCTTGGTGTTTCTAGAACCATCCCCTCTCCCTTCTTTGTGTATGACCCCTATGGAAAGAGGACTTTGTAGAGCCAAAGAGTTAAGATTTTTCTACAACTTCTCAACTGGAAGATGTCACACATTTAGCTACAGTGGTTGTGGTGGGAATGAAAATAATTTCACTTCCAGAAAGTCATGTTTGAGGATCTGCAAGAAAGGTATGGGGAGTGATACTGCCACGGACTATCATAAGAGGTAAATGTTATACATGCTGAAATATTCTTGCAAATTTTGACAGCAAGTATTGGCCCAATAAAACATAATAGTTGAAAATCTTAGAAAAGTGAAAATGGAAATCAGAGCTAAAGAAAGATGTACAGTAAAATACAGTGCACAAGAACATAAGTAAGACAACTTGGCATTGGTCAGGCATATGAAGACTTTAGGTAAGACATGTTCTCTTTTTTTAATAATATTTCTTCAACACAAGACTTGCCTCATTTCTGATAATTTTGGATGTGTTAATCATACAGATCTAATCTCTCTTCATTTTAACTTTAGGATTCAATAAAAAAAAAGGTGAAAGAAGATTAATAAAAATCAAGAAGAAAAGAAAGAAAGAGTCAGTAAAGCCTCTGGGAGGGGAAATCAACCCTGAAAGAATACAGCTTTGATTTTGATGGAACTGTGAACTGAATGTAATTTTTGTGGAAATGTAAACTACTATTCACCTGTGAATGAAAGCCTTTAGTGTACACCTTTTAAATGTATTTACTGTACTTATTATTTTGATTACACTATTATTAAACTGCTTGTTTTTCTTATGTATTCCTCATTCATGTTAATAAACATAACCTTCTACTTTGATAAAGTCTTGAATTGTAGTTCAATTATATATACTTGTCAGAGGTGGAAACACGACAGAACAGACTGTGTGGGTGTATAACTCATGATTAAGAAGCAGACAAGATTCCAATTTACTTTATCCTAGTATTCTTTTTTTGAAATCTATTTTTGTGCTAAAGAAAGCAGAAGGCTTGTCAAAGAATAACCACTTGTCAAGCATGATAGTTTCAATTGTAGATTAAAAGATAGATCTGTTGCTATAAATAAGAAATAGGCACTGGGTTTGTTTTAATAAGATTTATTTTAGGTTATGCAAGCTAGATTTAACTCCACCAAAGTGCATATAACTACACTATTGTAAAATGAGTATGAGATCAGAATTAACCCATCAAAACCCATAAGAGTGTTAAAGTTGTAAATGTGTAAAACAATGACAGATATTTGCAAAGATTTAAATGTGTATTTGTTGGGATCATTGATTTTTATCCTTGCTACTGAACTGGACACATGGCTAGCAAGTTAATAATTTACAGAAATGCATACCAAATTTTTACAAAGCCCAGAAAAAATTGTCTTCATAGAAATAAATACAGTTGCTTTAGAGATAACACTGTTGACTGAGGGGTTTATTTGGCTGGGTTTTGGTGGACTTTTTTAAGACTGACTTGAAACACTAGTACATCTTCCTGCCCTTCTCCAGGGCACCTCTCTGATCTTGGGTAAATCTTTGATGCTGAGATTATTTTTAAGAAAAAAAAAAAAGAAAAAAAGAGGTGGTTGGTTTCCTACTAAGGCTCTTAGAAGCACCTTGCTGCTTATGAAACAAAAGACAGCAGGGTATTTTTGAAACTTCTTCCCTATCTTTTCTGATGTTGTAAATCTTTTTACAAAGAATAGATGCATTTGTAGACAGATTGCCTTGTGATCCCTGTATCATTTCATGGTAGTACCTCTCCTTCAGGCTCCCTCTTGGTCCAGCAGCTTGACTGCTTGGATTCAGCACCTACAAAATCTACCCTGGAAGTTTAGTCCTTTCTATCCCTGCATGAACCTGTCTGTGTGGCTGCCCCCTATTCTTCTAAGTCTCCTGCATGATGAGCTCTCCCGCAAACTATGAGGGTCTCCTCACAGCATGTGCTCAGTTGCTCCCCAGGACTGTGAAGTCTTCTCTTTCCCCGAAAGTGCTGCAGCTAGGGCAGGACTAACAGGTACTGCTCTCCCACCCCCTATTTGTACTATGCTGAAGAAACTTCTTGTGCATTCATGTTGTAGTAACAGTGACTAGACAAGTTAACTGAGTTGATCCCTTATGTCATTGTTGAGACAGAAAAAGATTTCATAGTTATGGCATCTGAACAGTACTTCCATTTCGACTGCCTAAAATGATTTATCTTTTAGGCTCACTCCTTAATGTACTGAGAATTGAGACTGGAATTTTGTAGGCTACATAAAAATTGGACTGATTATAATCAAAGATTTGATCTGAGTGTGCAAGCTCTTCTTGGTGTGTGTGCTTGGTTTGGCCACCATATCAGTTATCCAGCTGTCTTCCTACTGTGTTTTCATGTAGTTCTACAGTGTACTGAAGTAGTTTTTCCCATAAAAAGTCCAAACTACAGTGTGACCTGATATGATTTTCACCATCTCCACAAGAAGTTTCTTCTCTGCCCTTCTCCTTCATTCACTTTATTCCTGCATCTTCAATATCTGTAGGAAAACCAAATGCAAGCATAAGAAAAAAAGATCTGTGCATTTTCAAAGATAATTAAAGGGTGAATGTAGAAGGAGGGATAACTGAGCCACAGTAGAGGGAGAACATAGGGAGACGGCAGAATGGTGAAGGTCAGGAAATAAAGCTATGCTAAGGTATTACAATGACTTTACACCTCCTATTACCTGGAGTCCATTCATCTGGTCATCTCATTACAGAGCCTGCCTTGGTTGCTTTGGAGAAAATACACAGGGGACTGTGAGATTTCTCCCACTTTGCGTGATGGGAGTCAACAAGTTGAAGCAGTTTTACAGAGGTTTGATGAGTTTCCACGTATCATCTGCCCTGCAGTAACTTGGTATGTGCTCTTAATCCATACAAACGGTGAAGCAAAATGTCCTTGAGAAATAATTCAGAGTCTTTTTATTAATTATTTACTTGTATGCCTTCCTTTTCCTGATTTTTACTTTCTATCCCCTGCTTCTTTCTTATTTACAGTTCATTTGAGCCAACTTTTGTCCCTGCATCTCCAATGCCTTTACTCTTTCAGATCTGACAGATTTATTTAGAGAAAATCTTTATAGATTCTACCTTTCAAACCAAAAATGGTAAAGTGGACGTAAGGATTAGGTTTCATAACTGTCTGCTTTCAGTTGCTTATCTTGAGGAAGAACTGAGTTCAAGCGAAGTGGAGCATACTTTTATGAAGCTTTTACACATGAACTCTCACTGGTTTGCTCGTAGGCAATATATGGCGGGGGAAGGGGACTGGTTTGTGCCACCGTCTCTTTTGACCCTGTCGCAGTGCCACAAGGCAGGTCACCTGTGGAATGCTGTTTTTATGTGGCTTTGCTGGGGGCACACAACACGTACAGCTAAAGATGTCCTCGTTACTCCCGGTACTTCCACCCGCTCCGCGGGACGCTGCCGCCAGGGGGCGCGCCCTGCTTCTGTGTTCAGTGGGCCTGAGGTGAGGAAACGGAGGTGCCGCTGCCGGGCGGCCCGGCCAGCCCGGAGCCTCCGTTCCTCAGTGGAACCCGCATCCCCAGCGGAGAGGAACCTACCACTGGTTTCCACAGCCGGGCTCGTCATCGGCAAAACCACGTGTATCCTCGGAGTTTCCACATGAGAACGAAACTGTGGTAAGTGATAGGATGGTTTGTTTTTTTTAAGCAGGTCCAGAAAAGGGCAACAGAGCAGGTGAAGAGCTTGGTGCACAAGTGTGATGAGGAACTGCTGAGGAACATGGGGAGGTTTGGTCTGGAGAAGGCTAAAGCAGGACCTTATTGCTCTCTGCAACTGCCTGAAAGGAGGTTGTAGTGAGGTGGGGATCGGTTTCTTCTCCCAAGTAGCAAGAGATAGGACAAGAGGAAATGGCCTCAAGCTGTGCCAGGGGAGGTTTATATTGGATATTAGGAAGAATTTCTTCACAAAGAGGGTGCTCAGGCATTGGAACAGGCTGCCCAGGGCAGTGGTGGAATCACCATCCCTGGAAGTGATCAAAAATTTGGATAGCTGAGGCCCTTAATGACATGGTTTAGTGGCCGTCTTGGCAGTCCTGGAGAAATGGTTGGACCTGATGATCTTAGAGGTATTTTCCAATCGAGTTGATTCTATGATGCTGCGATTCTTTGCTTCAAGTACAGTTGGTGGAGCTCATTTAGCTCCCTTTGAAGGGCTCAGAGCCACCCTGGTTGTAACCCTGGCTCCTTCAGCCAGGAGGAGGGGGAGCTGAAGTACAGGGCGGGGGGGGGAGGAAATGAGGTTCAGTGTCCTTGAAATGCACATTGCACTGAGATGCCTCAAACACCTGTAGAGTAGGAGTAAGAAAGGTCCAATAACAGCTATATAAGTAGAATATAAGACTTTGGAACTAAAATAATAATAATAAAAAACCCACACATACACACAACTCTACTGAACTTGACATGGCAAATCAAACATGGACCATGCAATAAATATCTACAACTGATTCAGATGCTTGTTCTTGAACACATGTGCTTAGCTGGAATACATGAGTTATTTCCTAGGTTACTGTATGTTAACATACCATGTGGTAGTCTATACCCTAGACCTAACTATCTAACATACTGCAACCAGGCTCACCGCTGAGGACATACCACTACCTGATGGGACACTGTTGATTTCAGAGAATTTCCGTTACTGTTCAGAATCAAAGCTAATCCCTGGTTTATATCTGTTTACATAGCCAAGACTAAGTTTAGAGTGCCAGCTCTTAGTTCTTCATTGATTATAAAACTAAAACATTCTCCTGTTGATGTAAGATCCTAGAAGCATCAAGACTTGCACATGCTGAATTACTATTAAAGTCATATGCTTGCTGTTTTAGTAACACTATAGTGTGCTTTCACAATTTGTAATGTCCAGTGGCGATATGGATTTAAAGTATTCCTGCCCCTCTTCCAATTTTTTTCTGACCCTGGCTTGTGGTTTTCAGTGGCCTTCATGCAGTTCACGGCATGTTACACAAATGTTTCTGCTGGTAAAAAGAGCAGATGAGCATCAGGTAGTGAGAAGCAAGCAGAGTATTTTACCCTGTTTCATGAGCAAATGAAATGGCTATATTTTGGATGTGCAATTAGGAAAACACACCTTTGGGAGGTCCCTATGGCCTCACATAAGGAGTGCTGTGTCACAGGTGTTACTATTTGAGTTCAGGGTATGCACTCAGCAGCTGCTTGTTCACTTGGAGAGCACAGATTCTGCCTATAGCACAGGTGTCAGTTGTACAAACAACAAGTGATAAATGCTCTCAAAGAAACGTTTTCAGGTCCTGATGCAAAATCCTTTGAAGCTAGTAGAAAAACTGTCATTAAATTCATTTTGTCTTCAGTTATGCCAGTTTTCAAATTGGGTAGCTTATACCTGTGCTTTCAAATCACTGGCATTTAAAGAAATGTAACCTAGAAATCTGTGCAGCAATATTCCTGCTGTTTTCTTTCTACCCTTTATATTTCAAAGACTTACTTAAACACAGGGTTTGGGTGTTGTTTGCTTTCTTGGATATAAAACAAAGTGGTACTTTAAATTATGCACTTGCTTTAATCTGAAAACCTGATTCTGACCTTTAGTGCAGAGGAATGAAAGCCTCTCTCTGTAGTGTTTTTCAGCACTTACATTACAGAGCGTAATGCAGCCCCTGTGGTTTGCTGGCAGAGGTAGGCCAGGTCAGTCATACTGAGGTGGAATTTGTTCTGCATAGAGGTCCGAGCGTATTCATTTCTCTGTGTCTTGTTCGAGGAGCAGGATGACTCTTACTGCCTGCTACATGCAAAGACAGGCCCAGTGGTCTTCTCTCTAAGGGAGCAAGCGAGTCTTTCCCGATCCTGTTGCATAGCGCCAGCTTTTACTCGGAGTGGAGAAGCTGCCGCCAGACTCCGCAGAGGAAGACAGGCTCCGGCGACCGGGCCGCCTATCGGCCCGGTGCCGCCTGTGGTGCCAGAAGAGCCGGGCTTCCTCGGGATGCGCCGTTAACGGAGGGAGCAGTGAGGGAACGCAGTGTACAGGCGGGGTCAGGGTGATGTCACAGGAAACGCTGATGTTACGGGGCTGCCGCCGCCGATCTGCGCTCATACTCCGACGCGCTCCCGACGTAGCTCTGCGCAGCCACCGCGCTCTGGAACGGTTCGTACCCAGCGGGAGGAGCAGGCTGTCGGAACCTTCTGAGCTGGCCAAGGGGAAGAGAAGGAAAGAAACATCTCCTTTCTCCCTCACTGGAAAGGGAAATAGAACTGATTTATCTGAAACCATCTCTGTGCAAACTTTGTGAGGTGAGTACTAATCAAAACCGTTTCATTATTGTCCCGGAGAACAGTGTTTTCTGTGCCATCTGAACGCATTTGTAGTTACGCACGTGTATATGCTTTTGCATTAACC